GTTTCATGCCAGAATAAGAAATTACAGTGCAGTTCAAGATAAAACAGATAAAAACAATTAAAAAAAAATACATCTGCAATGTTATTTCTATTGTGCTACCAATAAGAAATGACAAGAAATATTCTTAACAAAGACAAGGGCTTGTTAAATATCTACTGCAAGTTTTATCATGTTCATCATGAAGTCAGAATTTACCAGACCATTAAGGTAAAAACAGACAAGAAAAACATTGTTTTATATATCTGAAAAACATGTGTTTTATATACATTTTAAAATCTGAAATATAGAGAATCTTACTTTTAAAATGGAATTTAGTTTGGAAGCCCCACAGTTGCCACCTCAAAGATTTATTTCTTGCTGTATTTTACACTGGAATCTCTTGTAACAAGCAATCAGTAGGTGGAGCAGACAACAAAAATTATCACGTGATAAGAAGGGAGTGTACTGGACTGTTGGGCATGTTTTTGTAACTATGGGAATCATATAGGAGAAATTTCCTTCAAAGAAAAGAAGCTCATGTGCGTAAGATGTTACTTGAATAGTTATTGATACTACTGGCATAAAGAGCTGGTTGATTACAAGTTCAATATTTTATAACCATGAAGTTTCAGAGCTCATGCTTTATTTCCCCAGACATTACTTGGCAACTAACTTAATTTAAATCAAATAAAAAGTTACTTTCTTTTTTCAAGCCCACTTTTATGCCTACAAATAGGGTTATATTTGTGTTTCATGGATATTGCTGGTACTACAGAAAAAAAATATGTAGCTGCTTTTTAGTAAAGCAAAAACCTCTGTTTTGAAGTTGGCAGGATGCATATCATTGTACTGTCACAGAAAGACAGTCAATAATTATATTACTAATATAAATTATTAATATATATTATTAGAGCAAATTAACATCACTACTGATAGCAATTATTGATTATGCAAATATCCTAACTTGTATACGTTTCTCATCTTTAAACTTCTTTGATAAAATACTAACATTCTTTTATTCAAATTAACTACTTAGTTCATATGTGGATTAAAATGTTTGTGTAAATGCAATGTATTTCTACATGCAGCAATGGGAAATAGTCGTATTTGGGTAAGTTTCTATGGCAAAATACATGCAGTCAACTGTTTGCAAAAAATATAGGAAAATTGTATAGTATAATACCGTATATTTTTATCATCCTGTGATTTCCCTGCATGTCTGTTCCATAGCAATGGTACTCAATAGACACACCTTCCCCCCGCCTCCGCCGCAAAAGGTGAATTGCAGATGAAACAACTTAAATGTAGGCATACCTATATGATATTTTGTAGGCAGATCAAACTCCTTGTTCCTGAGTTTAAAGTGTGCACACACTTATTCTGCCCATATTTTGAGCTGACCAGAAGCTGTGTAACTGCATTAATTCTTGAGCTAATAAACCGTGGCTCTCAACAGGGCTAATTATTTTGGGTTCAGCCCCATGTTAAAGCTCCAGATTGGCTTGGAAAGTAATCAAAGCAAGCTCACATCTGTCTATATAAGACTATGTGCATATACCTGTTACCACTAACAACAAATAATGCATACTGATTCAGAGTTTGATATCCATTCCTTCCTCTTTTTTTTTTTTCTTTATAAATGTAACAGTTTATGGAAGAAATAAATGCTTGAATATTCATAAAAAAGACAAAACATGTTACCTTCAACACAGGCCATGCTATTATATACATATTAGACACTCCTGTACATTCATGACACTAGCATTCTTAAGTTTTACTTTTTGAAATGTAGAATAATGCTAGCAATTGGGAATGGGCACAACCTTAGAGAGAGAGAGAGAGAGAGAATCTCTGGAATAAGAAAGGCAAATTCACAACCAATAATGTATTCTGTCCTGGTTTCGGCTGGGATAGAGTTAATTTTCTTCATAGTAGCTAGCATAGTGCTGTGTTTTGGATTTAGTACCAGAAGAATTTTGATAACACCCTCATGTTTTCAGCTGTTGCCAAGTAGCGCTCAGACTACTCAAGGACTTTTTGAGCTTCTCCTGCTCGCCCAGGTGCATAACAAGCTGGGAGTACAGCACAGCTAGCACAGCTAACCCAAACTGTCCAAAGGGCTATTCCATACCATATAACGTCATGCTCGGGGGGGTTAGTTAGTTCGGTCGATCGGTCGGTCGCGGAGAGACTGCTCGCGGCTCGGGGACTGCTCGCGGCTCGGGACGGGCTGGGCATTGGTCGGCGGGTGGTGAGCAATTGCATTGTGCATAATTCGTTTTGTATATTCTGTATATTCTGTTATCATTCTCATTATTACTATTATTATTATTTTCTCTTATTAAACTGTCTTTATCTCAGCCCTCGGCTCTAACCTTTTATTTTCTTTCCGATTCTCTCCCCCATCCCACTGAGGGAGGGGGGAGTGAGCGAGCGGCTGCGTGGTGCTGAGTTGCCAGCCAGGTTAAACCACGACATATTCATAGACTTTAAGGCCAGAAAGGATCACTGCATCATCTGCTATATTGTGCAATGCTATGAAGTTTTATCATTTCCCTGTTTAACCTGTAACACACTTCTGAGATGGGTTTCTGGGCTTCAGCTTGTGGGGAGAGGAAAATGGAACTTGACATGCCTTTACTAAAATTGAAGAGCAACAGCTCCTTAATTCCTTTTGGTCAATAAGTAAACACCCTTTTCTCACCCCTTTTTGTTTCTAGTAAAGCAAAAAGATTCAAAACTATAGGATATAACAATTATTGCAAATACAGATTTTGTAATGCTGTCCGTATAACCTGCCCGGACATCTGCAGCCTTGATACATGAGGTGGCTCAGCTCCATCATTGCACGTCATTATGCACGTCAGGAAGGGGAGGAGATGGTAGCAAACTTGAGCAGATCATCTCTACAACTCATTGGGCTTTAGTTAATGCATGAGTCTACATTAAGTCCAACTCATCAACCTCCTCTTTTCATTCGCTATGTTCCCTGCTTACAACTTGTATTTTTTCCTTAACTCACTCACTCAAAATTGTTGACTTTTGCTGCCTGGTTCTACTGAGACATGAATGGATCTTGCTCAGTAATCCAATTAACTATCCTATGAAGACAGCAAGATGCAGCTGTAGTTAGGTCAGAAGACCAGGCATATAGAGAGTAAAATGACAGACATACAGCAATGAACCAGTAAATTCTGCACTGAAATAACTTGCTCTGTATATTAGCAAGATATTGACTTCTATAACTATGTGTAATTTTGAAATACAGACTTTGATTGCAATAAGTAGTTTTCTTCATATATATCTTTGCTGGTTTTCAGGTTGTCTGTAAGTGTTGAATAGATTTACATTCATTCATGTTTCAAAATACTACCTGCAAAAGAAGATGGTTCTTGGAGCACAATTCTGTGATAAAGGAAAAATTCTGTGAACTCTGAGTCTCAGTATTCACAAACCACCTCAGCAAGCAAAACCGAGCATATTTTTGTTCTGCAAAAAACACTGCTAGCTAAATTCTAATTCTGTAAAATTAGAAACCCAAATTCATTAGAACATAATAGTTACTGCTGCCCTCTACCAGCAGTCCTCCAGGTGGATGGCTGAAATAAGGCACTACTTGCCATTCCTTAAAAACTGATTACAGTTTGCTTAGCCAGAATTATCAAAAATGAACTGATTACTAAAATCTTTTCAGACCACAGGTCACTCAATGTCTCTAAGCAGATAATTTTTGTACTCCAGGTAAACATATTAATGTTTATGCATTTGTTTACATAAATTGTTCTGTTCAAAACAAGAATCCCCAATTTCCTACAGTTTAAAATTATGTAAAACCACTGCACAGGTTATTCTTAATATTCTAGATCTACATCTGGACAAATCAATTATTGTGAGTTATTTCAGTTATTAACTAGCTCTCCTGTCTAAAAGCCACTTAGAAAATTTTTAATGCTTTTTTTTTACTAGTATTTTACTATGCTATTTTTTTGGCAAATAAAATTACTTAAATTTCATTTACAAATTGAGTTTTCATAACTGATACCCAGTGAATTAAACTATATTTCTATTTATTGGATAGATAACAAATGATTCCAAAACAGAGGAAGAGATTAAATATTCTGTCACTAAGTGTCATGGTATTTTTCCTGCATTTTTTAGGATTAACAGTTCTTACACACAGATTATAATTAAAGCCTATGAAAAGCAAGCACTGAGTTCATACTAGCATAACCTGATTGTATGTTAATGCTTGTTCCTATGAAGAACAACCTGTCACCAAACATTTACAAACACAAATTCTTTTCTTTTTACAAAAGTTCACAAAAGGGTATTAAAAAAGGCAAACCCACAAGCTTTACCAATCATATCAGTTTTGTATAAGATATATCTACTGCCGTATTCACCTGTCTGTAAAGCAGCTTACATAAGAAAGCTTGAAAAAAATATACCGCCTTTTATCAATACAAAACAAATTAATCAGTAAATTTTTAAAATTTATGAGGCATTTCTATGTGAAAACAATCACGCTAAATAAGCTGATTCAGGCAGTTCTAGGAAAAGCTTTAGCTGAAAACCTGCATTTACAATCTATCCTAAAACCAAGCAGAACACAGCACCAATCCAAGCATTAGCTCAATTAAAAAAAGGGAAAAAAAAGTGAAATCCCTTCTCAGCTTAATAACTTGTTAGTTCTTGACAAGTGCAACAACACAACAATAAGCCAGTCAAAATGAGTTTTTAAAGCGAGGTTATGCCCTTCGTGTTGTGTTATCACAGTGGCAGATCAAACTGCTGACTTGGACTCTTTCTGCCAGCAGTGCTGATGCTGCCTCTATGAAGCTGCTGTCATGGAATAGTCATGGTACCTGCTCTTGCCTATAGAAAAGCACTAAATTGAACTCGAAGTAGTGTCTTTGTGATATCTTTTCAACAAGTCATGTCCCATTCAGCCTGCTAGTTTATCTCTGTCAGGCTGGGGGCCCAAGTGGTTTGCATGAGCTGTCAGGGACAGGTATACCAACCTGCTCAGTGCTAAGGAGGTAATGCATCTTTCGGGCTTGGTATTTCTTTTCCTTTTCTTTCTTTTCTAGGTCTTTCCTTTTCTCTTCATATTCCTTCATTTCCGCGTAGTCTTGGAGTTCATTCCTGTAATAAAATAAGTCTGCTGATTATATTACAAGAATAAAAGACGTGCTGTTTTATTTTACTTTAACCCTTTATAGCTTCACAGTATTCTGCTGTTATGTATTAGCAGTACACTGACACCACTGGAATGCAGAATTACAGTTCATTCAGTTCCACAGCAGCAGGATTCTACATGGATATAACTGTGAAGAAATAGGAGTAAAATGATAAAAACTATGAACAGTATATTAGTTCATACTGCTTACTCTTTTGAAGAATATGTCAACCTATATATTTTTACACCTTGCTAAACCAGCATTCATAGATGTCCTTTTTTTGCCTTTAAGAGTCATTTTAGTTTTAATTTCTCTAAGCAGAAGTTATTATAATTTAGTGATTTTCCTTCAAATGGTTTCAAAATAAAAGTTGTTTTGTTATGTTTCCGCTAGCGCCTTGCAACACCTCCTTCTGACCTGCAAACAGTGGAGACCTGATGGAATGAGAGAGGATAGTAGACATGGGATAAGAGTTGGCATTTACTCCTAGATCCTCGAGCCTTTTGTAAGGATGAGAATGTAGGCATGGAGAAGAACTGGATGTAAACCTTTTACGTGTGCAATGTCCTTAAGAGGAGTTTCCATAGCATTAGGCTTCTCGCGCAGGTCACTTTCTACTCTGGTGTGATAGCAGTGGTACCGGCCACCACAAGATACAGGAACATAACTGCCTCATGAGTCACTGCATGACAGAGCTTTGCGTACACATAGTGTCATCCAAACGGGTCGGTCTGCCTATTCAATACGTCGTAGAAAATTCTTTCATTGTAAAAGAAATAAGGAACTGTACCTGATACGGTTCTTAAAGAATGGAGTAAACTCATGGTTTTAACTGAAAGTTTAGAGGAAAACTTTTAACAGAAAATGGGTGTAGCTTTCCTCCTCAATAGCCTTTTTTCACAGAGCCAGACTTGCCATAAATTATGCAAAGAGTGGAGTGAATTAATGTTCTGTAAGAAACTAAATTCTGTGCTATTGTGCACAGTGCACGTGTATGGATTTTTTTTTTACCCAGTTAAAAAAGGTTAGCTTGATTAACATTTGTTATTTTTGTTACTAAGAAATGGCTACTTCAAATTAACCTGTGCTCCAAAGACACCAAGCAAACCGAGTCAAGCATTTAGATTGTTTAAAAGTTAATTAAGTGAGTAAATTCTAGGGTTTTTTTAAAGCCTGTGTGTATATGATAAAATAAAAAGCAAAGAAAAATATACTATTCACATATCTGGACAATTCAAATATTCCAGCAAAACAAATTATTTAGAGAGGTCCACATTAATAGTCTCAGTCATTTCAATGAGTACCAAATAAGACACTCTAGGACAAGGGTCAAATCCCGTCAAAATATGCACATGAATAAGTTGGCTGATACGAATAATCCCATGGGAAAGTCATATTGCTCCTGAAAGTGTTTTTAAGATTGTGATTCAGAATTATTCTTAGTATTTTAATTATTGTAATGTTAAATTAGTTCATCAAAATATGAGAGCAATAATTTCTTTATAAATATGAACACTATGAAATCACATTCTTAGATACAAGTTGCAATGTAGAATTTTTGTTTCATGCTATCTTTCAAGTTTTTATCAACTAAAATAAGTAAAATATTAAGTAATTAAACATGTTTTATTTCAAATGTAAAAGCAAAGAGAATGAAAAGGAAATAAATTAAAGATGGGGAAAGATGTATAGGTCTGTTTCAATCTCTGGAAATATTTTTTGTTGCAGTTTACTGTTAAAGGCTGCTAATACAATATTTCATACAAGGTTACTTATGAAGCACACTGACGTTTAAAAATCACCATGCTATGCTTTTGCAGCAGTGTAATTTTTTTCCAACATAAGATTAAATTGCAAAATAAATGAATTACTTAGAGTGGCATGGCCCCCATTTTGCCACCCTTCTCTTGAAAATTGCTTATTAATATGAAAAAAGAAGTTGGAAAATAGCCTGTTTTACTTTATGTATAGCGTTTCGGGGCCTCAAAGCCTGCAGAGCCAGACTAGCTGCACATTTTAGATTGTGTTGGCAAGCAGGGACGATGACCTTTCTGACCTGCATCTCAAAGCTATTATTAATCGCTAAGTAACCTGGTAAAGCCAAACAAATTTGTTTCCATTGAAAGGATCTCTATCTGTGTCTGGGAATTTGTGCTGTACCAAACAAACCTCATTAACTGTGTCCATTTTTGACAAAGAAGTAGGAGTTGGAGAGATTGGTGACCTTTCTTTGTCCTTAAGGTAAAGATTTCAGAGTCACTGCATGTAGGTACATAAGCATTTTTACCTGGAAACTCTTTGTTCTATATCAGTCAATTGTAAACAAATGAACAAATAGACAATGCATATAATATCAACTTTGTTCTTTTATTTTATGACACTTTACTTTCAATATCAGAGTGTATGATCCATGTTTTACAAATTTAATACTATTTCTTGTTCCTATTTGATTAGAGTCCTCTATTCAGCTTTAGTACCACTATCTATAACTGATGAAATGTCTATCAACATATTACTACAGTTTATTCACGTTCTTATATACTCATATACTTCTTCCCAACAGTGGATATGGAAGCTTTGTTATGAAGAACACAACTGGTAATGAAACCCCCCAAATAATGATAAAAATATAATTTTGTATTACAGATGTAATGATAATAGGATGCAAAATGTTTCCCATTGTCATTAATCTGAATTTACCAGATTACTTTGAATGGATAAGTAATAATCATTATTTGCTGAAATTAAATGAAGTCTAAAATACTTGTTGAAGTTCAATGAAATTCATTATCTTTTTAGACAGTACTATCATCCAAATGATCAGGATCCTTCCTGATCATCACACATCCTCACCAATGCTGTACCATAATCCATTTAAAAGTTTGAGGTTTTTTACGCAGTTACAAGTAATTTTCAACATACTTTTGCAGCTTACACATTTTGCAGTTGTGATAAAATATTTCTATCATGCACTATACTGCTCTGTACAGTTGTACAGAACATGCAGAGAATTCTGTCTCGGGGATAATAGCTCCCAAGATGATTCTCTCCTGAGAGGCAGTACAAAATAAGGGGTGTGTAGCAGTCCAAACATTGCTTGACTGGAAAGCATAGATGCTTTAGCATAAATATAGATTTATTCTAAACCTGCTTGAACCCGAAACTTTCATCTCTTTCACCATACATTCAAGAATTTGAATAGGAGCTACAAAAGCAGAGAATCTAAAAGTAGTTGGATATGAATATACTATTTCACGCATTAGCATATTAATACTAACATGTTATGCACTGTGCAGGGGGTTTCACTGTTACCATACAGAAAAATAAGTATAAGTGATACTAAAGACATAAACTTAGACTTCCAAATAGTATTAGACTTCTAGATACCTTACACGCAAATGTGTTTATTAAGAAGTTCCATGCTCGTGACCTTCTACATGTATGCCTTCCCCGAGAAAATAAACCCAAATTCCATTGAAGTCAATTGAAAATTTATTGAAATTAAATGTTCTTTGGATTAAACCCTTACACGTATTGCCAGCCTTCTCTTTATTCATACACATCACAGTTTCTTTGAGCAATAGTAAACAATCTTTACTTGGGACTATATGATGTTATGAATACTAGCTATGATGCATGATACTCTGTGGACTCTGGACCAAATTTGCTTCAAGACAAGCCTTTCATGGTCCAGTGTGAAGTGGAAGAATTGAATATGGGTAATTGTTTGGCCTGCATTTTTAAAGGTTCACCAATTTTGGGGGGGGGGTGAAAAAGAGTTTGCAAGTGCAAAACATGGTTTGGAATAATTAATAATCTTGTTCTATTTTTATAAATGATCTGTCTGTTGCATGCCTTATAGTTGGCATAGTGCTGCTTATTAAACTGTTATAACTGAAAAAGCAGGTAATATTTTTAGCACATAAACTTTTAATTACCTTAAAGCTTATCTCAGTATATTAACAGCATCTACTGCATCTTCCTACAAACCTGGATTCCCATATAAACTTAGTCCAATCAGAGTTTCACCCACACAGATTTTTATGGGATATCTTTGTAGAGAAAATATGTGTAAGTTTTGACAAAGGTAGTGTCTTATCATGATCTGAAAATTGTTCAACAAGTCAGAAGAACATAAATGTTTATTAGCACAAGTTTAGGATGCATTCTTTTGTTAAAAAAGTGAATATACTGGGTAACACAAAGTGTGTTTTCCTTGTCATAGGGAATGTTTTGTGTACTTGAAAATGGGCATAGCATTATCAATGTATGTGCTTAGAGCTCTCAATTAAAAATGATCCTGTGCAACCAATCTGTGAAGTAGCTATTGATTTGTTAATGATAAAATTATTTTTTTCTATAGTTTGAAAATAAAACATTTCATATGACAAGGTAACTTATTGTTATTCTGATACTTCATTATGCAGTAGACAGTGGTGTTGGTTCCAGCTATGAGATGCAAATTTGGTTGACAGTGCTCCTGCTGTCTGTATAAAGGTTAAAAATACACATATAATATTGTTCCTGGCACTTCTGGAAAGGTCTTCAAGTGATGATTTCAGCAATATACAGATTTTCATAATTCTGCATAGAACTGCATCATTTTACAAACTCACACTGACCTACATTTATTGAACTTTTATCAAACTATTGCATTCTGTTTGCATTTTCACTGGCATTCTGTGGTCCTTTGAGCAGATAACCATAAAATTATAATATTAACTAAAGTAAAGGACAGTGAGGAAATCAATAATTAGTATAGTTGCCTAGAGTACTCAGAAAGAGTATGAAGTCATTGTGATTTTAAACAGTTCATTCCCAAATCACAAAATTCCTGCAACATAGGCAAGTAGGCAACCTTAGCATAAAAGGAGATAACCTAAATCAATTTTACCTTCCTGACTATATATCATACTCCCTGCTCAAATAGAGAATATAGAAGTGAAAATGAAATTAGTGGGACAA